ACTAGTAATGAAGTTTTAATTTGTAGAAAGTTTATATAACCAAAATATTTTGATAATTACACTTCCAGTTCTGGTTGCTATGGTGTTCCACAACTTTTCAACTGAAATGTAATGAGATTATTTTTTGAAAAACAAATTCTATTTTATGGAAAGTAAAATTTATCCTCTCAAAATTAGCTTCACATATTCCACCATGCATATAAAAAAACTTACTTGTTAAAACTTTTTAATTATTTCATATTTCTTCAAGGAATCAGTCACCAGAGATGGCAAAGTCTCCTGTCCTACAAAGATCGGTACTTGGGTGAAATCTGAGTTATGAATATATAATAAAATATTCAGTTTATAAAAAATGTCCAAGGAAACTCTCCTGAACCCTTGTACTATTTCATTCCATAAATTTGTTGTGTAAGTAAATGACATTTTAGACACAAAATCCTTCACGACCTCCTTTTCTGTGCATACTGCCTTGCTAATGCAAGTTTCTTTTTAAGTAAATGTGCTTTTATTTTTAATCACCAGCCTCCAATAAATGATAAACAAAATATAATCAGCAGGAGGTATTTTAATATGTTCTTCTCTTCATGAGCAAGTTGTGGTAGGGACCGAACCTAGGTCTCTGCATATGCTCAGCAAACACTTGGCTGGAATTATAGTCTTGGCCTTGACCCTATGACTTCTTTATTATTGTTATATTTTGTTACTTAAAACAATTTTCATATTTAAAACATTTAAATAAAAATATTTAAATGTATTTGTATCATATTCTCCCACTTTACTTCCCCAATTCCTTCCTCTCCCCTTTCCTATTCACCCAACTTTAAGTTCTTTCTCAAAAATCAAACAAAAACCAAACTTCTGAAAAAAAAATCTATGTTTGTTTCTTGCTATGTGAGAGAGACGGGTCATGTGGGTGTTGTATTCATGTGTGGATACAACACTGCCTCGTATTTTACTTTCTAGATCATTCTCATCAACTGATCTGCTTCCATTTTAGCATAACTGTGGTGGAAAGCAAAATTGCATTGTTACATATATCAAATTGAATTAACTTTTTAGCATCTGTGAAGCTGTTACTAATGCTTTTTTGACATTTGTTTTTAGATGCTACTGTGTGCATATATGTATGTATGTATGTTTTATAATAATCTCTGTTTTCATATATACATACATACATATATGCTTTCATTCAATGTTCTCCTTAATGTCTCACTAGTGAATGAAATGCAAGTACAGTGTGGCCTTCTACTCCTTGTTATATATCTAGACACAATGATGATTTTCAAGCTTCGGAGTGTAGGTAGCTGAGTATGATAAAGCTTCTGAGTGTAGATATCTCAGTATGGTGAAGCTTCTGAGTGTAGGTATCCCAGTATGATGAAGCTTCTGATTGTAGGTAGCCCAGTATGGTGAAGCTTCTGAGTGTAGGTTACTGAAGAATCTTATAATATAAGATTGTTTGGCTGAGAAGTCAATTTTTCCAAAAGAGCTCTTTTATAGCTTTGAATTACACAGTATGAAAGAACACATAGGACTTACATAAAATCAAATTAGCTTCAGAATTACATAGAATGAAATTAGGTTGTTTATGAGAGCATATTCCTAGACCAAATTGTAAAAATAAGTCCATATAGTCAAGGTTAAAACTCCAATTCCAAAAACTGGAAACTAACATACCAATAATAGTATATTCATGATTGATAGTTGTATTATGGTTATTATGCTTCCAACAGTAAGAGTCAGTTCTTTCTTAATGTGGAAATTGGGACGCATGCTTTATTCCTAACACTTGAATTTTATCATTAAATGCTGAAAACATTATAGGCACTCTGTCATAATTAGAAACATCTTATATTGAAAATAAATCATACCATAATTTTTTTGGAGCTGGAAAAGGTTTCTGTTTAGTGGTTAGGATTTAAGGCCATTTTATTTAATTTCTTGCTTCTTTAACATAGAATTTCAACTTAACTGTACACACAGATAATAGAAATGAGTTATTATGGGACTTATTTTTATATGTGGGCAACCATTCTGGGTATAGTTTAGTCTATGATGTATATATTGAAACAGGTTACATTTTACTGTATAAGGACAGTTATAGTTTACTGTATAAGGACCGCAATGGAACACAATTTTACACATGACAAACATGATTTCTTATAACATTAATTTAGAAATCTCATGCTATAGCTTTGTAATTTTTTCTGTCTCACTTACTGCAAAAATAAATGTTTCCCCTGGGTTTACATACAATATAATCTTCTAGAGATAACAGATCCTGAGGAGCATATTTTAATCTGGCAGTGTTTTTTTTTTTTTTTTAATGACATTTATCCATGTCCACATTTTAATGTCCTCTATCTAAGGAAAAAGATAACCTGATATTTAAAATGAAGCCACAGTTTTAATTTTATAATTCTGTCCTATTTTGATATTTGAGAGATCTATACTTTTATGCTGACAATCTGCACATGCATGTATATATTTCTTGAGTTCTGAAGAGGAACTCTGGCAAGCTTTATGCTGGTTAAGCATGGCTTATCAGATGGTACTAGTTCATAAATAAAATGAAGGCCAAAATATTTGCAAAATACATCAGCAGTGTAGGACTAAGTTCCTGGGTAATGGGGAATAGACCTTGAGGAAATGCTAGGGATAAGTGTTCCTAATAGATCCTATTTTGTCAGATTTGGAATATTTATATATACATAGTGAGGTATCTTGGGAAGAGATCTGAAATCTTAACAGAAAGAGTTCTTTACAATATTTCTAACACGCTTCCCTGTTGGCTGCAAACTGTCTTATGTTGTTGGTTGTGGAGTATTCTGCTTGTCACATAAGAAATCACATTAAAAATCATTTTAAATATTGGAAAAACTTTGGATTTTGATTTTCAGAATGAGAAACATTTAAACTCAGTGAGAAAAGTTGGACAACATGATTGAAAAATGGGCAAATAAGTTTGATAAACAGTTTTCAGAAAGTTTTCAGAAAGAAAATTTATAACAGCGAACTTAATTCATAATTTTAAATACATGTAAAAATGCAAGACTTTTCACACTGATCATTCTGTGTGAATATCTATATATGTAATAGCAACAAAGAGCAGATGATCATAAATCTCTGCTGCTGGTGTGGATATATAATTTATTTCGCATTTTAAATGGATTCAGATAGACTCCTAAATGGGAGCATTATGATCATGATTTCTTTAGAGACAGAAACAGACTAAAGGATTCTGAGCATTTGCTAACATTGATGTATTTTTCACATTCAGTCCTTTATATTGTTGTGTCTTTCTTTATAATGGCATGGAATCTATAACAAATAAAATAGGGCTGGAGGAATGAAATACATAACGATTTTAGTAAAACTAGTGAATTAACACTGCTTGAACATCTCCTGTATATCACAAGGTCTGTGAGCATCCTGGGGAGAGGGAGATATAGTGTTGAGTAAAATATTGTCCCTTTTCCTCTCAAAAATCAATAGGATCATATCAGTTTCTAAATTGCTAGATTCAGTAAGGGTAGCTGTCCCCTTGTGGATTATAGAGCAGTTTACATTGTGTAAGTTAATTCATCTTCACCAAAATCTTAAAAAAGAGAGAAGCACATTTACTGAGTTTACCCATGTAATGCTCAGATTAACCTTGCAAAGAGGGGACATTATCATCTCCATTTTACCGAGGATGGGGAATAATGTCAAGTTCTTTAAGATGCTTAGCAATTGAAGAATTTAAGTATCTTCATTCTCACCAAAAGGTTCTGCCTATACCTTATTCAGAGATTTGAATTTATTGCCACTTTTCGAATGCATGATATAAGATTCATGGGTTAAGTAATTAGTTTAGGATTATGCCACTGACACTACTTAGCTCCCTGCCTCTGATTGGAGAGCTCTGCAAAGAGGGACAGGGAAAGCCTTTATGCTGTCCTGATAAGCACTAGTGATGAATCAAGGATCCATGACTTCTTCAGGAAAACAACTGCAGTAAAAAGAGCATACTTGCCTTTGTATGCTCATTTCCTCTATGCAGGTAGTAATGAACTAATTTGTTATGTTAAATAGCTTCAGTATGAGTTCTTCTAAATTGAAGGACAAAAACCTGATGCTAGCTTAAAGCCTGTCTCTACTTTGTCAAAGGACTGAGCCATTTAGATCAAGGGCTATGCTAACAGAATTCCAACTTTTCTGTGGGATGATCCAAAAACAGCAAACAGAAGGAATTACATTTCTTAACTGTCACAAGTGTGTACATGCATGCTATGCCATTCCTGCCACTAGCCTAGCTGCTCATTGGTTTGTAGAGATCAGTGTTTGAGCATTTCGGTTTACAGCCTAGTATGCTCCATACAGGACTATTTCTGTTGCATGCAGGAAAACAAAAGCAGGGTAATTTAAGATGGCAAGGTTTATGCACTCTACCTCCCGTCGATACAGGTCTCAACTGAATGTTTGTGTTTAGTCTGACTTGGGGACATTTGCCCTGACAGTGTGCTTTTCTATGTGACAGGCATTTGTGGGATTAAGATCTTGAGTTGTTTCTCTTGCTCTGTGCAGGAGCAGGTTGACACAAGTACTCTGATGTGAAGCAGGGAATGTGACATAAACATGATTGTTAAATTAAGATGAGGCGTGGCTTAGTGGGTTAAGCAATATTTAACCTTGCGTCTTCCACACATGCTTTTCATTCTTACTAACTTTAGTGACAAACTTAAAAAAAAAAAATACAAGAACTAGATAATGACTTTTATAAAATCAACAGAGCTGAGTGGAATAAATGAGTGTGTGTCGAAGTAAAGGGCCCTTTGTTTACTTAGAGTACCCCTGAGCTGTCTTCCATCTCACCAGAAGCTCACTCCTTAGAAGAGCATTGAACACAGTATGGTGACTTAGCATATCCTTCCCATCTGTTCCATAGAGTGACAATGGGCAGGAAAGAAATAGAGGTTACAGCAACGTAACAAATGTCCTCAATTCCTTTTCAATTACAGCAAATTCTGTAAAGCTAGAAATGCAGAGTGATGAAGAGTGTGACAGGAAACCCCTGAGCCACGAAGATGAGATCAGGGGCCATGATGAGGGGAGCAGCCTAGAAGAACCCCTAATAGAGAGCAGCGAGGTGGCCGACAACAGGAAAGTCGTCCAGGATCTTCAAGGCGAGGGAGGAATCCGGCTTCCGAATGGTAAACTGAAATGTGACGTCTGTGGCATGGTTTGCATTGGGCCCAATGTGCTTATGGTACATAAAAGGAGTCACACTGGTAAGCAGCTGAACGAATAACCTGATGACTGCCCGTGGCGTCTGATGTTGATATTACCTGACATCTACTCTCTTTCCTTTTTATTCAGGGGTGGCAATGTGACGTCACCTTTTCAGAATTCTGCTAGTATTGGATTGTCGGGAAGCAGAAAGTAGCCTGGGTCTTGACTTCCAGCCTTTAAATCTGAATAGCATGTCAGAAAAGAAGTTTGGGATTCAGTTTCCACAGTTCTTAATATAGCAATAATTTGATAAGGGTTCAAAGGGTATAGGAGAATTTCATTGAGTAATTTAATCTTTTTTATATTTGTATGTGTATTTAACCATACCCATGGGCAGGTAATATAGTTTGCTTCCTAAGACCTTATTCTACAAAATAGTACTCACATATATACATATAGGGATGAACCATTTTCTCTTTGGTTCAGTCCTTCAAATATCTGGTCAGTCTTTGTCAATCAAAGGTCTCTGTAGCAGTGGGGGTACTTTCTCTAGTTCCAGGATATTACCATCTCCTTATAATTTTTAGTTTTAACTCTGGATCAAGATGGTTATGGTTAGCCATAGCAAAGGATGGCAGGTATGTTGGTAGGAATGTGTAATCGTGGAATTAGGTGAGGAAATGCCTGTGGATAACTTAATATATGCTTTCAGGCATTGAGAAATGCAAGTACTTCATAAAAACAGGCCAGATGAGGATGGGAGAGAGTTATAGAAATCTGTTCAAAGCTTTTGATTGAGAGGAGGAGGAAAGAAAGAAGGGAGGAAAGAAAGGAAGGGAAGGAAGAAAGGAAGGAAGACAAGAGTGGGTAATCTAACACAATAAAGGGGTGGGGGAGTGGGTGTGTGGTGTTTTAAGGAATAATAGTCAATCTTTTATGAAATTTCAAGTTGAACAGGGCATGGTGGCATGCACCTGTAATTCCAGTGTTTGGCAGTTGGAGACAGGTTGATCAGAAGTTCAAGGTCATTCTAACTTATATAAAGTTTGAGGCCAACCTGTGCTACATGAGACTGTCCCCAAACCAAACAGCAACAAAAATTTTCAAGTCAGGTGTGATGATACACACCTATACCTCCAGCACTTGGGAGGCAGAAGCAGGAGGTTCTCTATGAATTCAAGACCAACCTGATCTACATAGTGAGTTCCAGGCTAGCCAAGGCTACATAATGAGACCCTTTCAAAAAACAAAATAAAATATTAAAAGACTATATCCTGCCAGGCATTGGTAGTGCATGCCTTTAATCACAGCACTCGGGAGGCAGAGGCAGGTGGATCTCTGTGAGTTCGAGGCTAGCCTGGCCTACAGAGCTAGTTCCAGGACAGGTTCCAAAACAATACAGAGAAACCCTATCTCAAAAAACAGACAAAGAACAAACAAGCAAACAAACAAAAAGACTATATCCTTTACTAAAACATGATAGTATATGCTAGCAAAATATTAGTAATTAATAATTCTCAGTTTTAAGATGTGATAGTCTTGTGAAAGAATGAGAAATCACATGAAAGAAATTTATCTTAAAATTTTACTTCTAAATAATCAGCTTAAAATTTTTATAAAAAATGTGCTGTAATTATACATTACAGTATTAGTATTATACAGTAAAGTTTTAGTTCAGACATCTCATGATACACACTCAAAAAAAAATTGTCTGACTTGTATCCCTTACCTACAAAACATCATCAGTGAACGAACTCTGATTTCTAAACTTGTTTAATTGGAATACAAACTCTTAAACAACTTACTATAAAACTTACTATAAAATCACTATAAGCTAAGGCTGTTATTTTTAAAACTTACAATAGAATTTTCACATTCAGATTAATATAAGCATATCATCCACTTTCCAATATGTGCATTTTTATAACTGTAACAATTAGTATATTTGCCTTGTTATGATATTCTTTTAAAAGAATGCCATGTTTAAAAATGTTTGTATCACTAGTGAATTTTTCCATTAATATTTTAAATATCTTAGGAAACGTTAAGATATACCAAACTTTAGTTTCTATTGCATAAGAAAAAGAAAGAGAATAGGACTACTTTTGTTCCATGCCCATGAAGTAATACTGGCTTGGAAAAGAAGTTTACAAAGCCATATTTGTTATGTTAGAGTGCATATCCTGAAGAATATAACACCCATTAAATGAGTAACTTTCCTTTGAAATATTAAAACAAATCAATTACTTTGCAGTTGAATTTTATTTACTGATCATTTTAACACTAAAGTTTATACTAAATATTAGTTTGGGAAGATTTTTAATAAATTTTAATAAAGCTTTTAATACATCTCAAAGAACATGAGAACTGCTTCTTAAAGGACTTAGTTTTAGTTTATATTTTATTATATCTGTTGTGAAATTCACTACTTTTTTGAAATAAAATAATTCAATGCCAACTCCACTTTCCACTATGTATTTTCTATAAAAGTGGAATGGAAATATTTCATCCCTGAAAATTATATAATTGGTGTAGGGCTTGTTTATAAAACATTACACGGACTTGCACAGGTCCTAGAATATGAGAGTCACTAATATGAGCAAGGAGAAAAAAAAACAAGCAACCATTTGAAGTTCACTCGATAGCACAAACTCGTTTGTCTTACTGACCTGTTTTGAAAACTAGAATTCCTTCTTCAGATCTTGATTCTGATGACTTGGTTGATCCCAGTTGTCATTCTCAATTCTACTGTAATACTGTTTGATGACAGGCTTCTTTGTGTTTCTTTAAACTAGATGTAGAAATGTATACTCAGAATCCAGTCTTTAACCAAGTGTTTTCTCTGTACTATTAGGAACTACAGTCTTCATTATAGAGCTTCCCATGCTTAAGAAAATTAATTGTAGCTAAACAAAAGCTACTTCCTTAAATCCTTTGGGAGGCCCTTGGGAAGCTCATAAATTATATAATAGACAGTTGACAGTGAATAAGAAAGTATGAAACCACCTTATTTATTCCAATTACATGGGGTATCGGATCTAATGCTCCTTTCTTCTTTTTCTTTTGTACTCTGCTCAAGTGCCAATTCCAGTATCTTTTAATGGCTTGTTGTTACTTCTTTGGCATTGCTACTTTAGTAAATAATCAGGTAATATTTTCATCAGATACTCCTGGCACTCTTCAATGGGAATAAAAGGCACAGAAAAACAAACAAACAAGTAAGAAAAAGGGTAGTTATTCAATTCCTGTGTGAACATGGATGTGTAATAAAATTATAAATATAGACAACCCTTAAGCTTGTTCCTCTTTGGGTTCTAGCTCTCTTATGTTTGCAAGCTACAGCAGTTTCTAGCCATTCTTGTGTTCTAAGGCTCTCTATTGTTTGTTGTTAGTTTTCCAACCCAACACAGGTGCACCACCTTGTCCTTGAGTCACAAAAGCAAACTGGTCTCTGTGAATTTGCATGTCATTGGAGTGCTTAAGACATTTTGGATGTGTTCATGAAATTATATAAATTATTGAAATGCTATTTCTCCACAATGAAAATGATGGATAAACTAATTGAGGCAACCAGTAAGTTAGTGGGCTGTCATTTAAAGAACATACTGGCTTAGCATGATGGAGCATACCTGTAATCCCGGGAAATAGCAGTGTGAAAGAGCAGCAGTTTGAGGCCAGTCTCTGCACAGAACAAGTTGAAGGCCAGCTGAGCTTGCTAAGACCTTGCATCCAAAAGCCATGAAACAAACAAACAAACAAACAAACCCATAACCAGCTTTGGAATGGACATGAGGAATCCCATGGCCACATCTCAGCTAATTTTCTTTATTGTTAGTCCAGTCTTCCATCCCCACTAATGGGATGATGACCAGTTGTCACAAATACAGTAACCTACTTTGGTTTTGAATTGGGTTGCTCTACAATATTATTAGTACTGTAAGCAAGGAATCTGTGGGAATTTTAAAACTTTTGTTTCCACTTGTGTACAAAGAACATAATACTTTATATCAAATACAAACTATCTCAAAAAGAGCAAACTGATTCTCCATTTGGTTTAAAGAACAAATTAAAATAATTTTGCATTGTTTAAAGCCCTCTTGACAATATATCATTGTTTTACATTTGTTCAGAGAAAAGGTAGATAATTTTTCAACCTAAATTCAAGATAATTCTGCCTATATAATATGTGGGCTGGGAATTATTCTCCAACATTAAATATCAGGGTTCTTAATATTTTATATAATTTTTAAAATGCAGTTGATTATTTCTTATTATTTATGAATATTTACATACACATACATACATAATATGTATATATACACTGTATTGAAGAATTCCTAAAATTAATTATAAATACAAAGAATAGCTAACTTGGTTTATCCTCTTCTCCATTAGTAGTATTACTGACAGTATCACTCTTACTGTAACTTCAGTGTTGAATGCAGCAAAACAACTTTGTCCTCAGAGTGCTAGCAAGTTCTTTATAAACAAGGCACTGAGCATAGTTCAACAGGTTGCATATTAAAATGAGTAAAGCCTGGTTCTGACAGCTGAGTAAAGGACATCGACGGAGAAGTAGTAGTAATCCCCACCAGTATTTCCTAAAGGTTTATCTGGGTGAAACTGGAGAAGCTTATTGCTAAAGCCTTTTCTGTTATCAGAAAGGAGCTACAGTTTAAAGCACACCTTGTCTTGTTCTTTACTTCTCATGGCTGTGGATACAGAGTCCTCCTTATACACCCAGCAACAGAGCCATATGGTGAGATGTACATGGAGTCCCTTTCCTTGTCTTCCATGCTCTGAGATGTTCTTGTTAAAAAGTGTCAAAGACACCTGGAGTGTTTTGTAGATGTTAACACTAAGTTGCTCCAACATTAGCCTCACAAGACTTGATTAGATTACCTCAAAATTTGTTTTAAAATTTTTTTTAAAGGGTCCCCCTTTAGTATCATTTCCTTTCCAGGCTAGCATTGTTTCTTAGATACTGAATTCACTACTTTAATGTAGGGATTAAAACCATCAATTCGAAGATTATAAATGATTTAAAGACAATGTAAATCAGCTTGCTGCAAAAGCAAACATGATTTCAAAACTTTTAACAGAGATCCTGATTTAACTTCTTTTTTAAAGCTATTGTGTCCCTATTTGTCCCTTTCCTAGGAAAAGCTTATGTAGAAAAATCGACCAGTTGAAGTAAAAAGTACAGTTTATATTTTTGTTTTCTTTATTCACAAAGCTACTGTGTAGAAGAATCCCTGTCTTTCCTTTTACTGAAATTCCATGTCAGGGTGGAGAGTAGATAATTATGATTTTTAAAGTTGGACGCTGTTATTTCCCTGGAGAAAAAAATTCAAAAACTCAAAGCTACGTTGTGTATGTGGATAAAATTTAAAAAGATCTTAAAAACTTAGGTTTAAAAGCCCTGCACTGCAGCATCTACCCAAGAACAAGCACTTAGACCCTGTAGGACAAGAAAACCATGTGTTCAACTTGGTCTACAATGCAAGACCCATCTCAACAAAAAGCACAGAGTATTTGATCAGAATTAGAGTTTGGAGACAGGGTCTCACTATGTAGACCAGACTGGCCTTGAACTCTAGGAGATACCCCAACTCTGCCACCTATGTACTGGGCTTAAAAGCATGCACAACCACCTCCAGCTAGAATTAGATTTTAAAACTAAATCATAAGGTTCCTATGAGGCATTTTCTATTTCAACAAATCAAACTAGTTAAATAAAATTCTGTCTAAACTAACTTTAATGTGCTGAGTTTTTGGTATACTCTCTATTTCCAGACATTTTGTAACTTAGCTTCAAAAGCTCCATGTTTTTTTAAGAGAAAAAAGGAACACCATACACAAGCCTTTTGTTATGTGTATCATTAGCTTTCCAAAGGAATACATGCTGTAGAATCTAGTATGTGCTTGATCTTACCTGGTTTTAAATTCTTTAGGTTTTGGAACAGAACTGTATGACAGAATATACAGTGGTTCCTGCCAGAAAGTGCCCAAAGCTTATGCCTCCTAGCTTTTTATAATAGAGAAACCCTGGCTTTGCATTACATAATGGGCCAAATATATTCTAAGGTTCACTTCACTGTTAATATAAATATTCTAGCTAAAGATACATGAGCGTAGCAATTCAGTGTACAAATTATGAAAACTGTGGAAATTGTACCTATCATGTAGCAAATACAGAAAAGTTTCCCTTCAAGTTTAAGGAAGTGGTTAATTTACTTTGAGCTTTAGGGTGAGATATTTTTACCATCTATTTATATGTCAGTTTGTCATTTATTTCATCTGTTCTGAGAGATAGGCAAATGAAAAGTAGGATTATTTTCTTCCTGGTTTGATAATGTTATCCACTTGATTTTGCCCGTGTTACTGACTTCTTGCCTATGTGAGCTTTGTTACCTTTGAAGACATTGGTGACTACCAACCAGTTGAGGGGGTAATAGACAAACAAACCTGAAATACAGGCTTATATAATTTTTTAACCATTTCACTGACAGAGAGCCATGAGAAAACATTCCTGTTAAACAAATGTTTTTCACAAAGTGTTCACACGATGTCTGGAAATATAATATTCTTTGAATTCTCTCAGGTATACTGGGGATTTTTGCCAAACATTTTATCGTTAATGGCTAAGAGACCAGGAGTCCTTTGTCTCTATCCAGAGATTTCCTTTGTGGGATTTGAAGGTTTATTTGTAGTTTATGCCTTTTTGGTTCAGATCTCAGTGCCGGTCTTACCAGCTACTTTGCCATTGTTGACTTCTGTTTCTTCATTCCTTAATTTAAATTGATAATGAGGATTCGTGTACTCTATGGAAGGCCATGACCGGTTGAGTGGTGACAGCGCTAGCTGTTCAGCCACTAGTACAAACTATTATTGCTACTCTCTCAACCAGTAATAGGAATCTTGTCAAGTTTGTGCTAAATGAGGTAATGACCACTTGACCTGAAGTTTGAGAAGTTATTATTAGCAGAGAGGTCTAACAGGGGAAAGTGAAGGTTTAATGTTATGTGGAAGATGATCATTGTGAGCCTAGGGAATTGTGTGGGGTTGACTGGACGGCACATCAGTCTCTTACAGTAGGCTGCTTGGTCTTTCCCTCTCTGTCTCCAGGTGAGCGCCCCTTCCACTGTAACCAGTGCGGAGCTTCTTTCACCCAGAAGGGCAACCTTCTGAGACACATCAAGTTACACTCTGGGGAGAAGCCGTTCAAATGTCCTTTCTGTAGCTATGCTTGTAGAAGAAGGGACGCCCTCACCGGACACCTCAGGACCCACTCCGGTAAGTGTCACCAAATCAAAGCTAAAGTCAAAAAAGTGTTAGAGCATCACATTAAGTAGCATGGAGCTTTGGCCATTGGTTATTGATGGCATTTGTAGGATGCGCAGGAGTCTTCAGAGATGACAGGCAAGGAAAAAGGGACACTGCCACTAAAGACTGTCTTGCAGCTAGAACATGAATTTTCTTTAATTTTTAAGTTTTATAATTATCAAAGGAGTAATTATGTTTAATCCAAGGTTACTGGAGCCTAACCTAATGAAATGTCACACTTCTGAAGTTTCCAGAAAACATGAAAGCTGTAGAGTTTCTTAACAGTCCAGTAGTGCTCCAGCTTAGATCTCGGTGAGAAATCAAATATTGTTCTTTTTAAACTTGAAAATACTCTAGTACTCATTAGAAAATTGGCTGTTGGGGGAATTTATATTTCATTTAACTCTCCGTATTTTGCTAGCTTTCAAACCGCTCTTATTGGGAAAGATCTGAACATTTTATCTGCTTCATAAATGATTTAATGGTCTAGAGTGTTTGATGTGCTAAGAAAATACTAGCATAGCAGTACATAAATGAGGAAGACTAGTCAGAAATCTGAATGAATCTCATCTGGTTTCAGCATGAACTGCAGTTGCTGAAAAGTTAAAGGTAGAAAATTATAATAAAATACTTCCAACGCAGTAGTATATGCTTTGTCTATAATGACATGTTAAATTTTAATTTCAATGGGAAGATCTGAGAAAGTGATATTCTCCTGTACATTGACAGATTGTAATAGAGTGCTGTGGGATGTGAGGGGACTATTAAGCATTATTAGCCTTCTTTACTTTTTCTTGCTATCTTTAAAGCTGAACTTTATTTTTTTTTTAATATAATATGAATTATAGAAAACAACTTAAAACATTTAGATATTAACTTTGGTACAGTTATAAAAGTTAAGTTGATATGTATGTGAAAACCAAATATTCTAAGAATATATTTTACTTTCTGAATTCAAACATAATTCATTTACTTACATGTCATATATTTTTTGAAAATTATGCTACTCTAGTTGTCAGTTAGATTGGTATTATTTTATTATGAGAGGTATCATAAGTTAAAAGGCATATTTAAGAGATGCCTTAAATATTTCCATCAGCTTCCTATATACATTCTAACCAATTGAAGGGTTAGTGAACTGAGGACTATGTACCTCATGAGCATCTCTAGGCCATATGCTGTATCTGTTGAGCATGCCTCGATGGCAGCCATACAGGAAGCCTTCCAGTGGTAGGCCATTTTTTCCACTCCACTTAGCCAGCCGACAATGGATGATGGAATGTGAGGAATGTGGATGAAGTCTATAGGTTTGAGTTTGTTGTATTTCTTTCCATTAAATAAGTTTCTGTTGAAAGCAATGTGGCAAGGGGCGTCATAGTACTTGGTAAGGTGTTCTGTTAAATTCGCTCAGGAAACAACCTAGGAAGGAATGGCAAATCCTCCTTAAACGTCTTTCAGTCCCTGTGAGGATAAATTCATTCATTTTCCATATTGTAAGGAGTCTAGTATAACCTGCCCAACCCCATGTGCTGGCTGATTACTTGTTGGATAACAGGGACTCAACTAAAAAATTCTGAGCCCAGCAATAGTGGTAGCTAAATCAGTTACAGGGGATAGGGAACACATGTAACTGAATTCACGGTGTCTACCTTTGCTTCTGTTATCATTTGAACACAGGTCCATTGAGCAGACACAAGAGTGGCAAGGTTAGCACTTTGCCTGATATTCATATATACTTTGTCCAAATTACAAAGCTCCTTCTCCATAGTGGATTCTTTTAAGAAGGAATTAATGTAGGATACCATATCATCACATTTTGTATCAATTCTAAGGAGTGCATCTGTATAACTTTCCCTAGACCCCTATCACCAATCTTCCATTTTCTTGGCCATAAGCCCATGCCACTGTGTGTCATATGCTCAGGCTCTTTTCTACTATGCACAGCATACAATCAAAGGGGCTTGGTGAAATCCAGGAATCTCTTTTCCACTCTGACAAGGCTAGCTTCTTTAAAGTGGACCTGAAAACACAGTTGTCATGGCTAGCACCAAGTATTACACAATTCCTTTGCAAACTAGACCCACTGCATTTCCTTCTCTGTTAGCTGTTCATTGATAACACACCACAAGGTCATTGATGTAGGTTGGAGGAGACAGATTGTATAGTAGCAGTTACCATGGACACCTGAACCACTCACTTGCTCATGAAGCATGTTTGGGATTGCCAACTGCTGGGTCCAAGTTCATTTAACAGTAATATTATGTTACATCCCTCTTATATTATTTTCAGATAATATGTAGTTCATAGGATGTGATTTGGGCAGTATAATTAGCAACTACTAGCAAATTGAGATCATCTTTTTAAATACAGAATAGCTATTGGTCAAAGATCTTTATGACAAAACCATTAGTGCTTGGCACTCTGAGCTCTACCTGACAAAGATGTCATATAGCACCTCCCCTTGCCATCAATTTTTCTAGAAATAATTGTGATGGATCTTAAAAAGCCATGGCTGAACGATAGCTTTCATCGTGGTCATATTGCAGGACCCCCTTTGCCCTAGGCACCTCTCAAAACTGGCAGCCTGGATTACATAGAGCATATGTCAGAGCAACACACTTCAATGTGGCCTCTGCTGCTTCCAAAAATCCAGAGACCAAGTGTTGTGAAATTGCAGGTTACAGAAATTTATCACAAGGCATAGAAGATCTGTTTCAGCCAACCAAGACTACTGGGCTGGTAATATTTACCAGAACAGAAGGTTCATGGGCTTTAGGGAAACTTATCCGCTGTCCTCTAGCATTTATCTTAAGACGCATCTTGGATGCTTGCTGCTTCCTGGCCACCAAGTCTAGCTGCTACAGTGTCATGTGCAGCCCAGCTTGTCTCATGTAGGCGACAATGAAGATCTCCCCAGACTCTGTTATTGTGAGCAAAGGTAAGAGTGTGAAAGTATGTTGTCCCTACAGTGAGGAGACACTCTGCTTCCAATTATGTCTGGTGATAAGAGCTGTTTTACAAAGAAATCGTGTTAGCTACTTGAGGGTAGTGGCTGCGACAAAGACTTTAGTGTGAATGACACTGGCTTTGTGTTTTATGATGGAATTAAGTCTACATTCATCCACAGACCCACCTATGAGTGGTTTGCCCTAATAAACAGTTTACTAGGTATATAACTTGATTCCCTACTCCTAACCTGTCCATTTTCTGACAGTGTCACTAACATCTGTAATTCGCCCATAGATGCACTGACTCTTCCCTGTCATTGCTCCATGACCAAGAACTAGTAGTTTAGGCATTACTCATTTTATACAGCAGTGCAATTCCACAGCCCTTCACATCAGCCTTTTGGATTGGTCTTGAGCCTTATTTGCTCTAGCCTTAGGTAGATTGTGGGCCTTTAAAGCCAATACACTCTCTCAGATCCCACCTTTGTTTTCCTGGAGATTTGAAGACTTTCCTTTTGTCCCTTAGAGCCATTACAACTCCCAGTCACAAGGTAAGCTTTAACTCTCTTCTGTTATCATACCTGCATTAGCATCTAGATGCCATAGTTTCCCAGTCCTTACCCTATGCCACACTTTATTTCATGCTAAGGCTCACCAGTCTCCCGTCAAGATCCAGCCCTTTTTTAACTCTGTCCAAGCCCTGATAACAAAATCAAATTCTACTTTGACTGATTAGATAGCCTTAGGACATCCTTCTACCCACACCTCTCGCTGTTCTAAGGATCCTAACTATAAAACAGTGTACCACTCAATGGGGACGTTAAAGGGCGGGTGTTTGCAGGAGAATGGTTAGACACAGGAAAACTGAGACGAGTGCTGAACTGAGGCCTGTCACAGGGTGCCACTCCTCCCGCTAGTCTGAAAGGCAAGGAATTAAGTAGCAAGGACTTGAGAGCAGACCTTGCATGGAGGAAAGCAGCCCCTGCCAGCCTGTGACATGGTGCATACAAATTGACTCTCCACCGCCCAGTGTCCTGCTACCTCCTTTAATCAGTGTGACTAGCAGTGAGGACAGGGGACCCGATTGCAACAAGAGAAATTAGCTTTCTGCGGGAGCAGCACAGCGCAAAGAAGCTGGGAAAATGGCCTTGGAAACCAAAGTCGAACTAGCATTTAGGAATTAGTGCTGTACAGTGACTTCTCATCAAATCCTATTTTCATGAGTATTAGTCTTGATAGAACTCTACGGCCCTTCTCTCTGGGTTACAACTGTCATTTTTCTACTGTATTTAATAATCATGTCGGCTGTTGGTACCATATATCTGCTGCCTGTGTTAGAGACCTGGAAGTTCTCTGTGTTGATTTCTGTTAGTAGTTGGTAGCAATGGGCCTGAAATTGGTGAGCATTATATATTTGTGTCACAAATACTCTAGTTTAAGAAAAGTAAACACTTAAAAATGTGTCTGGAATGCATAGAGTCAGTACTTCTATAGAAACATGTATATATGATCACTGTGTAAACTGGTTAGTTTTCAATTTGGGTATGTGAGTGTGGTCATACTCATGACATGCTAGGCATGTGGCCATCAGAGAAGAACCCCAGGAGTTGATCCTCACCTTCTGCCTTGAGACACGGTCCCTCTTCTATTCTTCATAGCTACATGTGCCAGGCCAGCCCATCGGCTTGCCAGCCTGCCTGCATCTCACTGAAGGGACATTGGGATTTTTCAAGTGCACTGCCATGCCAGTCTTTATGGATTCCAGGGTCTCAGTTCCTAATGTTGCCCAGCAGCACATTGTCCACTGAGCCATGTCCCCAGTGCCCGTACTCAACTCCTGAAAGGACAGTGAGATCCAGGTTACTTACTCATCAGTGTGTCCACAGTGAGGCAGTGGCAGGAGTTTCGCAAGAGAACTTCTTGCTGTTGTTCTTATCGTGCAGAGGAGGAGGCTGCAGCAGAGAAAGGGTTCAAACCAAGGCAGTCAAACTCCAAAGTCTGTCCCCTTTGCTGCCTTACAGT